AGCACGTCTGTATCCCTGGAGGAGCATGACAGCGGGATTCGGGCAGGAAAGGGCTGCGTGTGTTCATTGGGTGCTGGAAGGGCTGGGTGTGTTCATTGGAAGGTCTGGGTGTGTTCACTGGAAGGACTGGGTGTGTTCATTGGGTTTTGAAAGGCTGGGTGTGTTCATTGGGGGCTGGGTGTGTTCATTGGAAGGGCTGGGTGTGTTCATTGGAAGGGCTGAGTGTGTTCATTGGAAGGGCTGAGTGTGTTCACTGGGTTTCGGAAGGGCTGGGTGTGTTCACTGGAAGGGCTGGGTGTGTTCACTGGAAGGGCTGGGTGTGTTCACTGGAAGGGCTGGGTGTGTTTGGTGGGGTGCACACATGTGCAGAGGGTGGCAGGGGGAAGGGAGTGTGTGTGTCCAGCCAGGCCAAGGTGGGTCCATCAGCCCTGTCCCTGCTCTGGCCCCAGGAAGCCTGGCTGGTGCAGGGATSCCCAAAACGGCTCCTTTCCAGGCTGTCCCCCATACACCTCATCCTGGCCCAAGGGGCAATAGAGTTTTATTGCTGCTCCTGGGAGCTGCTGTAGAGAGATGCTGGGAGGAGCTCCCAGAGCATTCATCACATGCTGACTGGGCATTTATGAGGATCCTGAAGGAACAAATCCTCCCTGGGGCATGCCTGGGTGTTGGTGTCAAGGATGGGCTCAGCAGAATTCCCACAGCCCCTGCCTGTGCCTGCTCCCCCCTGGCACCCCCAGGACCACCCTGGGGCTGGCCCAGGCTGCCCAGGCTCTGGAGTCTCCTTGGCCACTCTGCAGTGTGCCAATCTGCCAGCCTGACCCTTGTCACAACTGGACAGGGTGGSTACAGTCGTGGTTGTGTCTGTCCAGGGCAGGCACAGCTCCCACAGGCTGGCTCTCTGGTGCCGGGAATTGCTGGGGAACCGATGGGTTTTACAGACAGGAGTGGTGGCATCTGGAGTGTTGCACCCTGCTGTGCCCCCCAGGACCAGGCAGACGCTGGGTACTGGGCTGAGGCCAGGGAAGAGCTGTGAGGATGCGTAAAGCTCCCATGAGAGGAGCGGTGCTCCCCACCCTTGGACATATCCAACAGTTGTGTGCCTATAGCCCMGGGAATCCGGCTTTAGCTAATCCTGCCTGGGCAGGGGTGGCACRGGCCATCTCCAGTGCTGTGAGTCTGTCATGAGAGTGTCGAGCWCTGGAAAGATGGGGCTAATGTCCAAGGCCAGAGAACAATGAGAAATAATAATCCAGTTTTGTTTTCTTTTTAAAGCTTCTCTAAYTGTAGAGGAGGCACAGCAGAAGAGGGACGAGCTGGGTGGTGGTGGGAGATGGATGAGAACTAAAGTCCCAGACCTCTTTTAGCTGTCCAGTATCACCAGAGGACACCAAAGGGAAATGTGGCATGTTCCCAAATAAAACAGCACTTCAGGCCCAGWCTCATATTTCTCCAGCCATAGGTGGATAATGGAAACAAACAAATATGATAAACAAGACACGATTTGTCCAAAATTTGGCCATTTTCTTCCAAAAAGGGTGTTGGGATTGTGATGAAACCTGGTTTTATCATGACATTTTGCTCTGTGAGAAAGCTCTTCTTGGCTGAGCCTGACACTGTGTGTTGCTCAGCAGAGCACAGACGGCCTGACAACAATTTGGCTGCTAAAACTTCTAAAAATAAAAACCATCCTTTTTTCTTTCTTTTTCTTTTTTTTTTTTTCCTCTCCAAAGAAACATTGCAGCATCACACCTTCCTCCAAGTACAAACTGTCAAACCTCTTCACACTGAGGGACTGTGCATGACGCTGAACTCCAAGATTGTGTCATTTTGGTTTTCTGCACTATTTTATTCTCAGAACGGGGTATTTTGTCTGGTCTTGGCAGAAAAAAAAGGAGGAAAGCAAAAGTGGTAGGGTGGATTAAAACATTTTTTGTTGTTTAGGGCTGCCCAGAGAGGAGCATTTGAGGCGCTCTTCTGGAAGTGTCTGCCCAGATGAGGAGGTGGGGCTGGAGCTCACACCTCTCTGGGCTGGGGGATGGTTCCTGGTGGCGTGTGCTGAGCTGGTTTGCACTGGAGCTGCATCCTGCAGCAGCATCACCCCTCTCTGCAGCAGGGCAGCTGCCTGAGGCTGCCCTCGTGCGGCCCCAGGGCTGAGGGACAGAGCTGACACTGCTGCTGGTCACTGCTCAACAGCCAGGAGACTCCAGAGTGCGGCTGCAGGAAGAACAGAACTTTTAATTTAGTGCATGAACCAGAATTAAATAAGAATAATGGATTATTTTCATCCAATATGTATCTATCTAATATATATCTTCATCTATATCTATATCTATATCTATATCTATATATCTATATCTAATCTATTTAATCTATATTTGTATCTATATCTGTATCTGTATATTTATATCTCTATCTATATCTGGATCTATATCCATATCTACTCAACAGGGCTTTACACATAGCCATGCACCTCCCATCGCCTGAAATGTCCATTTAAGAGGAATTGCTTTAACTTGCAGATSTTTAGAAGAAACTTCTGTCCTCCTTCCCAAAGGAAACTTGGCACCACTGAGTGTCTGTTGGGGTTGTGGGTGCCTGGTGTCTCGGGAATCCACAGTGGTATTTCCCCTGCATTCGGATATGCCCACCAGTCATGCTGCAGGAAAATAAAAGGCATCCAGACCACCCAGGATGGACCTGTCACCCCCCTGGCCCCTGCTCTCGGCCCCCCAGCTTTGCTTTGAACACCTACTGCTCTCAGTTTTAGCCATCTCCCATGTTTTCACTCAGACTGTACTTCCCTGCCTGGTCCTGGGGACGCACCAGAGGCTTTGCCTAGTGGATCACATCCATCCTTTCTTCCTCCASTAGACCAAACACCCTGGCAAGGAGGGAAATTAGATCACCCTGACATCATTTGTTCCTGGTAAAGTTGTGGTGGCTGGTTTTTATCCTTTATTTTTATCACATTMTTGGTATTTACAAATGGATAGTTCAATAATTTGTTTCAAAATTCTTTGAGGAACTGAAGCCAGTCTGGATCAGCTGTAACAGCCCAAACTCCGAATTTCCTTTATTTATACAGTTTTATTTTTCACAGAAAATATGTCTTTTTTGCACTTCCCCAGGATCCCCTAAGCCTTCAAAATCTGCTGCTAATTGTTCAGAGGTTGCTCACATTTTCCAGAATGTTTTATCTTGACCCTTGACTTCTTGATTCCCTGAGCTTATCTCACCAATGGTGATGGCTCTGGGCACTGGTTACAGCCTTGYGCTGTGCAGCCACGGCGAGGAAGTCACTGTTTGTGTCATCCCTTTGGCTCTTTCCATCRCAAGACATGAATGCTGACTCTTTTTTTTTCTCTTCATTGCACTTCTAGTGTATTTCTGGAACTTACTTTGTTGCCTTTTATGCCCCTCACTGGCTGTAACTCTGCTCCTTACCCTTTCTTGTTCCACCCCCATGCGCTTGAGCTTTCCCTTTACACTTATTCTTATACCCTCATTCCCATTTTTATAGGATTCCTTTTTGATTTTCAGGACACTAAAGCGCTCCTGATGCAGCAATATTGGCCTTTTACTGTTGTCCTGTGGCTCCTCTGCAGCAGGAAGTTTAGCTTCTGTGCACTTCATATACTATCTTTTAGTAACTTCTACCAGTCCTGTATTTCTGATTTTTACCTTGGGATGTCCTTCTGAGGGATGCTGCTGGTGGARAAACATCCCCATGAGTTTGTTCTGTTCATGTTTGTGCAGCCACCTGTCATTTTTTTTGATTCTCTCCTTTAATTTCAAAACCAATGAACTGTTGTTGGTGATGGCCTTGCCCCACAGGACCCAAGTGGTCCTTCCATACCGGTCAAAGTGTGGAAGAACTGCCTCCATCCTACCACCCCAGACCAGCACTTTGGAATAAAAAGGTATCCWGAGAACTTTCCAAATGATCTTTGGGAGGACTGTGTCCTCCTGCATTTGTTTGTRTGATGAAATGTCAAAATTGGACAGTTTAGACATAAAAAGTTGCTGTTTATTCAGCCAAATGCTTGCTGAATTGAGCCTTAACTTGAGAATAATTGCAGATAAAACAAAGCTATATTTTTGATGAATAAATTGTTCTTCTTTCAAATGTGCTCAATTTGAGGTTTAGTGCTGTGATAAATCTTCACTAACTTCTCTTCCTGAGAGAAGCAGCAGCAGGGAGGGAACATGCCCAGCCTGATATGGGACAGATGGTCCAAGCAGCGATCCTGCAGGGAAGCGGAGCCTCCTCACTGCCAGCAGAGCAAGGGGGCCCTGCCAGGCCTGAGCCCAAACATGTWAAGGGAAGGGGGAGAGGGAGGGCAGGAGGGGTGGCTATGAACAGAGGAAATGTGCCCAAAATGCCACACGTGTTCTCTAGCCAGTCTGTCCACTCATCCCTTCATCCATCCATCTGTGGAGAATTCCATCCA